CACTCACTCACTCACTCACTCACTCACTCACTCACTCACTCACTCACAAAATGATAGCAATAAAGTGCGTGGTCCCAGACAGACCGGTCAGTAGTCTGGGGGTTTTATCCTGGAGACATGTCCTTATGAAACTCTGGCCCATAAATATGTGTCACTCTGGATATGCGGAATTGAGCCAATTGGAACAATTTGTGTATAGACACCTTCAGGAGACCAAGTTTGAGCTCACCTCTGAAAATCTTCACTTTTTTCCGAACCACACCGTGGTCATTAAGACATTTACAGGAAAAATGTCCACCTCTGAACTTGACTCCTCTATTTAACTTACCATTCACTGTCATTAGGGTTGGAGTCCTCCCTCTCCTCCTCCTGACTCTCTCTAACCTTTACATCTTCCTCTGTCTTCACCCTCAGCAGCCAATCATCTTGCTGCAGCTCTGGGCGTGGCAGGTTGTAGAGCGGATGTTTGAACAGCTCCTCCAGCTTGGAGGGACCCGTTAGCTTCGGCTCTCCAGCTCGAGCGGCATCACTGAAGGAGCCGAGCTCTTTACGGTCGAAGACGCTGGGAGCCGCTTTGCGTTCTTCAGTCTGAGGGACGGTTGGCAGCTTTTGGGAGGAAGAGGCAGCAGATGAAGAGGAGGAGTGCGAGACGGAACGATGATGCAGAGTATCTGTTCTTGGAACGGGGGAGGAGGCTGAGGAGGAGGGGGTGGGAGGGACACAGGTGGTTTGGAGGGCTGCGAGGCAGAATATTGCCAGGAGGAGATGGAGAGAGAGGGATAAACAGGCCAGGCCAAGGCAGATGGAGCGAGTGGAGTGACCCAGGTTCCGCTTCACCATGCTGGGAGAATGAAATGAAGGTAATAATTAGCACTTTTAAACCAGCCATACTGGTCATACTGGGTTCTAACAGTCTATCCTTTTAAAAGTAAAACAATCCAAAACAAATTCACATTTTTCACATGATCCTTTTGCCCATGCTTCAGCTCTTCATTGTGCTGTCTATTCAAATTGTCCACTTCTTTGCTTTTTTCCACTATGAACCCTTTCATCATCCAAGCAGCCTCTGAACAGCCGGACATACAAGACTTTCAATCTCTTTAGGTAATCCTACATGTAGTGTTGCATTTGACTAGTTTAGAATGTTTACTTACTCAACATTGCAAACTGTGCACAACACGACACCATATAAATGATGAATGCACACATCAACATAACCTGGCGAAATCAAACAGTTGCATTTCTCAGGGCTATAAATTCCTCATGCTCTGCTGGTCTGACTCCGAATTTAATTGTATTGTAAGATAATTGAAATGGAATGTCAAGTATAAAAGCTGCTGGGACTAAAAAGGAATCCAAAGACAGGTTCACATCCACTACTCCAATGACAAACTCTCAGATAATAATTTACATAAAAAACATCAAAGGCAGACTGACAAAATCAATACATTATTGAACAATTGGTTGCTTCCAGATCCCCCATGATTATCTGGAGACTGGAGGAGTTACTTACATCTCTTTCCTTTTGAGGCCTTTTTTCTCCTTTTTCCCTCCACCAATTTCTGTTTTTGCACTCTTCTTTTGCTGATGGGCTAGACGTTCCGCTCTTCTTTTTCCATCTTCCCTCCCAGGTAGATTGCATTTGAATGTCAGTCTGTTATCACGGGGCCGCTGCACTGCAAACAAAGGTGAGAAGGCAGGCGTCGTGCTATGGTGACCCGTGTCAGCCTGACCCGCGGATATGGGGAAGGTTCCAGTTTGACGCTGCCAAACCAACACAGATGTTTGCATAGTTCCATGAATGCACTTTGCACACAGTAAACTCCTAATACGATTGAGGATTTTTATCCTATCATCTACACGAGTATCAAGATGTAGAACTGCTCATTTACTTTATGTCCAGCATCTAATTATCTTCCTCCTCTTTTTCTCTCCCCCTTTTCAGAGCTAATAACTCCTCCCCCCGGGGTTTGACTTTCATAGGACACGATGCGGCCTGAGCACAATCTGTGAATCAGACCCATTATTCGCAATACTTTACGTTAACCCTAAATCAAAATGGAAAAGATGTGGGCCGAGTCCTCTGCAGGAACATTAAGCCGGCCCAGTCATGTGCGCATAAATAGAAACACAGAGAGTAATAAATTAATACTCTGTAGGAGCTCAGATTAAATCAAATATTCATGCTCCCAACACACCCTCTCCCCTTTGTCATTCTTTGAACCTGCCACATCCTTTATAAGAAACCATCTGTTAAATCTCCAGCTACGAATTAAAGCCTTTCACTCTTTGTTTCTCCGAGGGGTTGAAAAGTCCTTTTTTTTTGTGCATAACATTCCTGTTAATTAGCCGACTTTGCTCCGAAAGACCCATTCTTTTTGCAGGTTTCAGCGGGTCTCAGTAGAATAGGTAGATGTTTATCAAGCCTGCAGCACTAAGTTGCAGTAATGAATGATGCTTTTGATGTACGCGAGAAGAATACTGATTTCCTACACTGCACTTAGAGGAAAATGGGAGCGTTTCATGCAGTGGCTGAGAGACGGGATATTTTGTATGTGGAACGAGGCTGAAACATCCTGTTAGCCACGTGCCGGTGCTTAAATAAAAACAGCCACCTTCCAACAATCCCGTCTTCACTCAACTGCTTAGAATTTCTTTAGATAACACGCTAACGGTGAGAGGTTTTACAGTAGCGAATCTGTCAGTAGGTATTGGGATATGGCAGTCAAAGAAACGGACGGCCGATAGGCTGAAATTGGGGTAAACAGGCCCAACCACACCCGGTCTGAGCAGTTATGTGTCCAATCTGATGTGAGATCTGTTTATTAGCTTTGATTGGGACGTTATACCCACAAATGTATCGTCACCTTTTCTCTTTCCTTCCATCGTATTGCACATTCTTAGATGGATGGAATTTTTTGGGGTATTCTTGCTTTGCTGGCCCTCTTAGGCAGTATCTGCTTTAGGCCTAGTTTTATGTTGTGGAGAACCTTTTGGTGTGGTTTTTATCACGCAGGTGTTCCAGGACTCAAGTGCAACACACCAGGAAGGCCAGTTTAACAGTCTTTATTGTAAGGAGGTCTTCAAAAAATCCAAACACAAAAAACTCTGCTAAGCAGGGACGACGAAAACAAAAGAAATGTCCACTAAAACAGAAAAAGGGTGCACAAGGCACAAACAGATTTACCACGTGCAGGCACTGTGGAAAAGTCCAGTAACGGGCAAAAGGGCTGAGGAGCAATGCAGATATCCACCAAGAGTCTCACAGATGAAACGAACTAGCAAGAGGGAGCTAAAATGCTGGGCAAATGAGGTGGGAATGAGTTACAGCTGTGAACTCAGGTGTGAAGATAGCAGGGCGGGAAAACAGGGCAGTAGAAAAAAAGTGGAACGGAACGAGTGACGCAAGTAAATCAAAAGGTGGCTGAGGGAAAAACAAAGGGAATGGACTGGGCAAAAATGGGCACAACTGTGACAGTTTTGGTCTCCTCTCCATCAGGTTAACGCTTATATTTGTCACTAACCTGCATCTACTTATCCCATCTCCTCTCCATATGATATTAATGGCAGATTGTTGGTATTGGTTTGTGACGTTTTTCTCTCTATTGTTTCTGGCTTAGTTTTAGGTTAATGTCTTTTGTTTTAAGTTTTAGGTTAAATTCCAAAGTTTTTTATTTATGTCACTCATTTGGTAATACCACAGTAACCCTTGATAATATACATAAGGGTAGTAGACTTTATTATAGTGATCAAGCAATGAGTGACGAAAACATACTCATTATACACACACATTGATCAACCATACCCACTTAAATTTGGTACTTGCAGCCTAAACTATTGAGAAATGTATGCTAGTTTTAAACTTGGCCAACCTGAGGATTTTTAAAAGGGTGAGTTACTTAAATCTTCAATGTAATGAGAGCATGGAGGAAACCTAAGAGTATTATGCTGTCATATGCATTCACACTCACACAGAACATGTGCATTGAAGGGAGAAACCTTTAGGAGTTATTAGACACCGCTTGGTGTTTACACAGTCAGAACACATTTGTATTCTTAAGAAGACTTCAGGAGAGGATGCGTTTAAGAACTCTAAGCTAAGAGCTCTGGATGTGGAAGGGGTTGCTTTGCAGTCGGCATACTTAGTCTCTCTGTTTCATATTTGCTGCCTTCTGCACCTTCACCCTCGTGTAGGACACACTTACATGAAACAATTCAAACTGCAACCACACCATTAGAGTTTAGAAGCCTTTCCCTTGCAGCAGTTTTGGTGTACGCTGCTTGGGAGCTGATTGGATCATGCATGTGCTCCATCCTTCAGACTGGTGACCGTTATCCAAAAAACAGGACCATTTGACAAAGTGAATTCAAGATCATATCTGGCACGCTGGAGGGAGAAAAGGCACCAATTGGATGATGTGGACCGCGGCTTTGTGAGTTTTTTCGTGTGTTCGCCTGTGTACTTGTGCTTTTACTTGGCAGTGGGCTTATTCATGTATAAGAATTAAGGTGTTTTTATTTGTTGGGATATTTCTTATAAGGGATTAGACGTGTCTCTAGATGTGTCGAAGCACGGAAACACACAATATAATAATTCTTTAAATAGTTTTCTCAAAAATGGTTCAGCTCGAGGACTAGATAGAAAATGAATGGAAAAATCCACCAATGTCCATCCAAACAAACAAAAAAAGGAAACTGAGGGAAAAGAAGAACTTATTTATGCCCATAAAGAAGTTGCTTTGACAATTTGACAATCTAAAGCCGGGTTTTAAGCTCAATGTCAGTGGTAAGTTTGGGTTTCAGGCCCACAAAGATACTAGATTGTATGTTTCTGTGTGTCTCAATGCAAAAGTCATGCGCAAAAGGATCAATAAGTCATGTGTTTCTTGGCATTTGATGTGGTGGAACTGTTCATCTTCAACTCCTTCCTCGTCCTTGCACCTGCCTTCAAAGCTCATCTCAATATTTGGTCTTCTCACATGCTTCTCCTCTACCGCCAAGTGTTCTCTCTTCTCCTGCCCTCTCCCACTCCTCCTCTCCTTCTTTCTCTCCCTCTCACTGTACGCTCAGAAGCCCTGTGTCTTTAAAGCACTGACTCCTGTGGCTTTGGCTGCTGCTGCTACACTCCGAGTATGGATGAGCATGAATATTTTATCTGGTGATGCAGAGAGGGAGGGAAGGGGGATGTAAAAGGGAGAAAAAGGGGAAATGACAGGGGAAGTCAGAAGTGATAGAGCAACACTGGTGATTGCAGAAGGTACAAACGCAGACAAAGAGGACCAAATACAAAGGAGAAAAGATGGAAGGATAAGAAAAGAGGGAGGAGGTAGAGGACATGAGATGGATGCTGGAGGAGGGAGAGACTATGGAGGGGAAACTCGTGTAGAATACCAACTAGAGATCAAGAAACACCATGTTTGCTGTGGAACCAGTTTTTTGAGACGTTTCTATTCCACACGAGCAACTGATAAACATCGGAAAACCAAATAGAACCGTTTGTCTTTTGGATTTCTTTCTCTTTTTTTGGTAATACAATAATTCCGATCTGTCTCCTTGTCAACACTCACCCCATCCAGCCTCAGTACGTCTCTCTCTTCCCTCCTCTCTGTTTCTCTTGTCATCCATTTCAAGGTGACAGCTTGCGAGATAATCTAATCTTGCATCTCCACACATGGGACAATCTGTCATCAGCTGTCGCTGAACAGTGTGGATCTGTGTTCTCTAAGAATGTGCCTGTTACTGCTTTGAAGACAGAGAAAGTGTGTGAAAGTGTTCACTTGCCAAATGAACATTTGCATTTTGTGCATATCGTGGATAGTTCAAAAAGAGATGTGCTTGAAAGCACACTTTGATATAGAAAAGTCAAACTTAATGTGAATGAAGGTAAATTGTGTGAGCTATAACTCAACAGCAAGTAAGGCTTCCGAGACAGTCTTTCAATATTTGCTCAGTGGGATTCGATCAACTCGTAAGTACTGAAGAAAATCCTTGTCAATGTGGCCTTCGTCTGAGGGAGTTTCTATTGTGATGCAGTGCAACGCTCCGAGTGTACATACATTTGTGTTGCGTAAAAATGCAAATTAGACAAGTTATTTAACCACCCAGATTTGTAGAATCTTCCCACGTAGAGCTTTTCTATTAGTACCCAGTCCTTCTTGGCTCCACTCTCCTCACCATGACTCGGTTTAAGTTGGTTTTCCGGTACAAGTATGTGGACATTGGGGTGACAAATAGTTAAAGAGGGGTGCTTATCTAGTCATGTGACTCTCTGGCCCATCAGTCTGCCTTTTTCCGACTCATTCCTCATGGAACCCCTGTCGAGTAGCTGCAACAATTCGAACCGTTCACAGATGTCAGCCCACAATGGAAGTCCAATAGAACTGAGTAAAGTCTAGCTCCAGCTGAACTTAGTTGGTACTAGTGGCATACCCCTGATGGAAGGAGATGTATTTGATTATTCCAACAACTCAATGGAAGTATTAAAGCCAGACCTTAATGTCACTGGTTAATTTAGTTACATTCTTTACAATGTTTTATCTAAATACCTGAATAACCTGTTTCCACACACCTTTGTGATTCATCCATGAGTCAAACAGAGCAACTCTATGATTAGGTTTTCAAAAACGCAGCTGTTGTTCCTCTTGCTCTGCCCCCAGAAAGAGCCTCAAGTGCATTGATAATGTATGACTTTTTAAATGGAACGCGTATGGAAACCAACCACACCATGCGAAAAAAATATTTCATGACAATAGCGTAGCAGTAGGTTCCTCTGTGGAATTCATTTTTGCAGGAAAAAACTGAATGTTATATAATGACTTTATAGAAATTTGATTTGTGGTCGACTCAGTGGTTTCAGCCGTGTTCATTTTGTTTCCATGAAGATAAGAAAGGGCTAAAAGGAATATAGATGCCTATCTCCAGTTCACTATTCACCGCACGAGAATGAAGCAATGGTGAGTTCAAACTTACCATTAATAATTTAGTGTGTACTGTTCTGAGGGTTTATTCATGGGAACAGAATGGTTTTAGGAATGGTCAGGTATGGTGCAGTCTGTGTAACTTTAAAAAGTGGATCCACTTAATAAACAGTGATTCATTGTGTAAATATTTCATTGTATTCTTTTTTCTTAGTCTGTCATGAGTTAAAGGTTCCTTCTTTCCCCTTTTTTTGAACTTTGTCCTTGCATGACTTTTCCCTGTAGTTTTGGTTATTGTATTATTAGTTTTTGGTCCTGAGCCTTTTTCAAGTGTCCAGTTTTTCTTACTTATTTTGTCCTTTGTTTATTTCATATTCCTCAGTTCTAATTTCGGTCCTTCCTCCATTTGTTCTCTTCTGTTTCCTATATTATTTTGAGGTCCTTTCTCAGTGTCTTGTTTCAATGTTTCCTTGCCATTTTCCCCCATAGTCTCTTCACCAGCCTGCTAAACGCTCACCTCTGTACATGAGCACTTCATTCTCAGTCATTCTGTGTCAGATCCTCCTCTATCCTCTGCCCGCCATCTTTTGTCCCACTGTTCACCAGTCAGTCGACAGCTTTGACGCACCTGTTTACTCCTTTTTAATAAATTTGGGGCTGATCATCATCCTTTACGTTCCATGTCTGGATCTGGTCCTCTTTAACACATTCTGTCTTCTCCACGGTGCCTTTGCTTACCACTTTGTAACTCTGTATTTTAAGTACTAAAAAATATCAATTCTAATCACACTGCAGCTGCAACAAGAAATATATATATTTTTTTACTTGATGTCGTCGAAAAGTAACATTTAACACTGTTCAGATTCTTGCAGGTTTATTGTTGCAGGTGCAACGATCCCTTTCAGGACAGCAGCTATTAGTTTTTCATCTTCTTGATGCCTACAGCCTTATAGTGGTCAGGGGAGTTTGTTTGTCAGTGGGCTTCAGCAGGTGAAAGTAAGAGCACGGCTATTTCCTCAGAGATATTGGAGAGGTTACAGGTCTCATATCAAAGACCGAGCCTCAGATGGTCTGTGATAAAGCAATAAC